TAGGGCCGTTCTCTTTACTCCGGATTTTCCAGCGCGATTTACGCGGAGGAAAATTATTACTCGACGGCAACGCGGAGGACAAGCGCCGGTCGTCAAATCGAGTTTGTCGTCGAAGTGAAACTGCGCGATGAGCAGAATGAACCGCAATACAGAATGAATTATAAAATACATGCATTATCTCGCGACCGCAACGAACTGGAAGGAGAAAAGAAAATCTCGAGGTTCTACTTTAACGAAGTTTTTTTTAAGCCCTTAAAATGATCGTTTGCAAAGAGCAAATCAAGTGATATATACAAAAGTTATCTTTGTACTTCTATTACTAAAACTTTGTCTCTTTCCCGTTCTGACAAAATAACATAACGTAATTAAATTTTCCATTCACTGAAAGTTATAACAGAATTTGTTATATAAATAAGACGAAAGTATATTAACACAAGTCGATAAATATAGGAGAATATTATTACTTTGTGAAATCAAGGTTGTGGAAATACCTATATATAAAATGCTGGCTATTTATCGAATATATTCTTGGGATGCTGTACGAGTTTCTGCGTTAGGCTTGGAGATACAAGGTAAGCGCTAATCTCGAAAACATCGACGGCATTAAATCGTATCTCAACCAAAGTACAATAAAATTAAGACGTAGTGCAGAAGAGGAACGAGTTTCCTGCTGCGAGAGCAAGATATGCGGAGACGATAGCACATATGTACGAAGAATTCCTCAGATATGCCTTCAAGAGAAATGTGTTGAAACAACATTTCAGTTCTACCTTAAGCGCATATCTTTGACTAAAATTTATATTTCATTTTACAAGTACTTTAACTATTTAATATTTTTCCTGGAATTTTTGCATCATTCTTAAGATTCGTCAGTCGATAACATTATAGGTAATTGCATTTGTCAGCAAAAATATGCTAATTACAGTACACGAAGAGAATTTCCTTTTAAAATTTACCCTGAAAATTTTGTTAATCGTGGAACAGCATAGTATTTCGACAAATTTTACTGTACGCTACAATAAATTTTACTATGCACTACAATAAATTTATTGTAGTATATATTTAAAAAATAGTAAAGATTATATAAAATTCGTCAAAATACCATGTAGTCCTACAATTAACATAATTTTCAGGGTAAATTTTAAACTAAAATTCTCTCCATGTACATTTATTTCATCTTATATTCAATCTGTTAGTTAGGGAAATTAACAACAAATATTTTATAAATCAACATTTCCATAATGGTCGAGAATAAGAAAAGCGATATAAACGCCACACAACGTTCTTTAAAAATAACATTCCTTCGGCAGGGTCGAACGTTAATTAAACGCAAACATAAAGATTTTTAAAAGTAAAATTCTAATTATGAATTCTAATTATTTGAAGTCAAACAGAACTTCCCTTCTTAATGTCGGTCTTTTTTGCGTGACTCGGACTTGCGCCTTTCTCGATGCACGACGAAACGTGCGACGAAATTCTTATCTGGATCGTTGATCCAGGAGCAATGCCCGTGGATTTTCTAACCGGGACTCATTCCGCGTCGATAACTCGCGGAAAGGAATTCCGCGTCGCGTATAACGTGCGATCGGTTATTCCAGCGTTTCCATCAATCCGACACGGTGTACGAACACTGAAATAAATCCAGAACACGACGCAGCGTCCGTCCATGCGATCCAGGAAATATCAACTCTCCCGAGACGAATAGCGAGATTGTGTAAGAACACAATGGGCAATATAAAACAGAACGCTCCAGAGCTGTCAGTGTTGCCTTTATATATGAATTCCTCGGTCAATGTCGTAGATCTTTCCTTAATAGGAAAATACTGTGGCACGCATCAGCACTTAAAATAGATTAAAAACATGAACGTTGAAGCGAGTTGAATCTCAAGAACATGAATATAGCAAGATACCATTCTATTAATTTCATGCAGGGTGTTTAAAGGAACAGCAATTTGTATTGCCACTTAATGCAAAAAATAAGATTCAATATTCATGACAAAATTGCGCGATCAAATATTTAACGAAATCTCAATTATAAATTTATTAAGCAGAAACGCGATAAAAAAAAGACTCAATATTATTTTCGGTGAAAACGTCAGCCGAGTGTTCCTGACGTTCCCGTAGACATTTATTTTTTCTGAGATATTCGATGGGCTTTTTTATGGGCTTATTTTTTGCGTTTGCTGTATTCAAGGAGCAAGCGTCCGGCGGAATTGTTCGCCGACAGTTTTTCCCATGGTGCACGGTAGATTAACTTGGTCGACGAGGCGCTCGAAAATCATTGCCGGGGCCCGCGGACACGATACTTTTACTTACAAATTGGTATTTTATCGGTGTTGGTAATAGAATGCCTCCCATCGCGACGTCACGTCGACGCGCGATCGCGTGAGAAAGTCGCGAATGAAGTAAAACGCCTGATGGTTGGATGAAAATGATTGCGTCTTTCACGATTTAATGGAAACTATTGAAAATTCCGCAAGAATCCGCTGGACCTAATTAAGCACGGCTATTAGAGATTTAAATTAGATGCTCGCGAAACGTATTCATTCGAGAACGTGATTACGTTTCTCGTTAATATATGTTATGAAAGTTATATTGTGGTACTTACTTGAATTAACGCTAAGATAATAGCTACATTGAAATTAACCACGATGTAACAGTTGCCAATTGTCAGAAACAATTTTAAAGATTCATTATATTACTTTTTAAATCAAAATAGAAAAAATATAAAAGTGAAGTACCAGATTCATTATATTATTGCAAGTATTAGCAGATTAATATTTATAATAATAAAAAGTGTGAAATCTCTTGGGAAGAGATTTATATACACGATCGTGATTTTGTGCCAACGAGAAAAGCGGTATCATAAAAATTAATAAAGTACCGCGACACGATATGAATATTAATTAATCATGGACATTTGAGTATATAAACTGTAGAAAGATTGTCAATAATTAAAATAGTTTGTTATAATTTAATCACGTATACACGAACACGAACTTATTTTCTTGTCACCAAGAAAGCATTTTAGCCGGCTAATTGACATTGGCATTCAGACCTGTTCTATTTACATAAGTTGTTTTGCAAATTCGCCGTTTTCACGTTAATATTTTCGCTTAAAATCGCCTCGTGTATATTACTCGTACCTTGCCCGGAGTGATATATGATAGCCGGGCGAAATATCGTTACGCTCCCGATATCAGTATCAATATTTATACATTTGCGTTCCGCGGAACACGATGCTATATCCAGCGATACGTTATCGGCGCGCGGCGAGCGCGTCTATATTACAACATGCATGCATCGTGCATTATTATTGCGGTTAAACCATTTCCCGTACGCGTTATATACGTATCTTACATCTTTTATTAAACGACGCTTTGTTCGCTTATCTGCCTGCTGTCGATCGGTAATAGATTACATCTCGCGAAGTTACGCGCTGCGCGCGAAAAGATCTTAATTTCCCATTACCTGCGTACTTCGACACGATGCGCGTATTCGACATTTTAACGCTGATACAACACATAAATTATACGCTCCATGCATAATCTTAAGATATCCAGATATACCTTCAATGCCCAATAAAATAATATCCGAGCGAAAAATTCATGTCCCATTACAATTTCAAATGAAAATATAAACTCCGCTGGTCGCGGTAATCGGGACTGACAGATATCAAATTGCGCAAGGAACGTGCAATGTCTAATTAAATGTATGTAGGTAGGTATACCAAGATTGGATGCTATTTCGAAAACAAGACAATCCTGAGAATTCCAGGCTGCTAGGAATGGTGCTGAGAGTTTTTCATGTTAATAGGGCCGTACATACAAAGCACGTGACTAACTTTCATTTTTTATACGTATAAGAATAATTTTTAAATATATATGCGATACATATAAAGTATACGATTATACATATCGTAGATCCGTATAAATGAAATAATGTCAATAAATTTCTCCGCGACAGAGATACACGATCTTTTCACTCGTATATATTTTCCACGGGCGAAGAACGTTTCCGTTCGTGTCGGTGGGAACGCATGTAGGTAAGCGGAACAGACTCCAGGGTTTCGGAGAGACGCCGAGAGGCGTGAAACCGACGTTTGTCATCACGAGCCAAAAATATATTACGTGACGGCATGGATCAGAGCCTCTCTCTTTCCCCCATACTGAGGGAAAAAAAATTTCCTCGGCCCACGTGGGAGTTGCGACGGGGGCACACAATGTGCGTCCGATCTCACGAATGGTTCACGAGGCAGATTTTCTCACGCCGGCGCGGGCGATCTTGAAAGTAATATTATACCGTGCGCTTTTTGATTTAGTAAAGTAGCGGGGTCACGAGCCCGCGAATATAATGGTGGTGCAGCTGATTAGATTAGATAGACTTAACACCGTGTCTAATCGGTAATCAGAATAGGAGACGCTGATAAGACCCTTCGTATCGGCTTCGACACGGCCGATTTGAATAGATAAGCAGGTGGTTTTTAGGTGGCTTCAAAGTTATTTACAGTTATGATTTATGTTACGATTTCCTGTTTTCTATTCTAACACTCTTTGCCGATAAATTTGTTTACCCACAACTTTATCATTGAAACGTGAGATAGAAAATTTTGAAACTGAATTACCATTGTTACTAATATACATATATGATAAAGATGGTCACGATTTAACGTTTTCGTATAAATTTATTCGAGCTCATTTCCGCTGTTTATTAAAGATATGTTTTGTATACTTCGTATTTTTAAATTTCGCGTGAATTGAACTGTTTTTCCTTTAAATTTCTTGACATAAAAACCAGTTTGTTGTAATATTATTTGGGTAATACCGCAGAACAGGGAGTCCCGCTCTACAACACAATTGCAAAAATGAAGAAACAAAAATATGAGCAATTGTGTTTAAATACCGACACAATTTGTGACGCAATTTTTCTTTCTCTGCGAAACCTGTTTGAACAAAGCGTTGCATGGAAAAACCTGCATAATCAAGGCGCAGGATACTAACCTTATGATTTCGTGGCGTCCTCGAGAGGTTGCTGCGTCCGTTGATGAGAACATTGTCGTTGAGAAACGACACGTCGCAGGGCGACGGTGGACCCCCGGAGATTTCCCACTCGGCATCGTCGGTCGTAGATGCGTCCAAAGTAGCGTCGAGCACTATAATGCTACCATCACCAACCTATAACAAAAAAAAAACGGTAACGATAGTTAGAACACGATGACCTTTCGAAAAGAAGACTGTCGTATTCTTTAGAAACGACACAATAACTTAAGAAAGGCGAACGAGGTATAACGATGTCCCAAATTTATTTTATGACACACATATTTTTCATTGTGTATTAAATATTTTGAAAGTTTATGGAATTATTCTTTAATACAATAAAATGTAATTGTTTCAAGGGCATGTGTACTATTCTTCACAAATATATGAATAATTTTAAAATAATTATTTCATTAATTTATAAACTTTGCAAAATATTATGCTAACACACATTGATATTTACTTTATATATCTCGAGGTTTAAATTAATAAAATCTGCCTAAATACATATCTAAAAAAAAAATCGTCTGAGATTTTTAAACCGATTTTAGACTATTACTTCGACAAAAAGAAATTTGTATACGTAAGCTGTAAGATTGCATTACTCAGTGAAGTAATTTTACTTTCTTATTTGTTCAATTCTCAACGAGGGTTTAACGGAAATGTACGGCCACGTTATCTTGATTTTCGGCGCCATTGTAAGCAGAGTTTTTGTTGTTATTTGAAGTCGACTTTTTCGCGGGTCACACGTAAATCTCTGCCGCTTGCAAATGTATCCTAACATTCCGGTAGACTGGGACGTGCGTTCGCGTTTGACTCGAGCGCAAATAAGCGCACGTGCAAATACGCAATCCTCCACGACCCGAGAAACTCCCGCGGCGATTCGGGAAAGTTGTTTCCGCGTGAAAATATGAGGATCTGCACGAAAAAAACCTTTTCCCACATTTAAAATTAACGTATGCGAGACTGCATGGCAGCGACTAATTTAAATTTACAGTTCGCGTGTGTTTAGCAAGTAGCTTCGTCAAGCTTTCGTTCATGGAAATTAAACGACGATATTATTTCATTTTTTTAAAGATTATTATTAAAAATTTCATATAAAGTTGTACAGTGAGCGTGTAAGTTACAAAAAATTTATCACGAATGAAATAATTTAATAAAATTTTTGGATATTTTAATGAGATATTTTTTAAGTTCTAAAGTTGCACTCAAATCGACTAAACATTGTCTTCAAATCTTATGTCAAAATTACATGTATATTTAATTTTTCATTTTACGAACTTCACCGAAGATAACATCAAATTATTTTAAAACCGTAATTGTAGTGGAATAAAAAATTGCGAAATAAAAGTACAGAAAGTGGAAATATTTTTCCTTCAATTCTTGGAAATAGGGACTGCGAAGCAAAGACATCCAATCACATGATCCGCATCTCCTGGATCTTACTTTATTTTTCTACTGAAAAGAAGAATGAAGAACTCGTTTTCCAACCGAGCATAAAATGCATAAAATGTGTCATCACAGTCTGAAAAAAAATTCTTCGAAAAAGTGTATTTTCGTTGCATGTACAATCGAACGAAGTAAATTATAGTCTGCGACTCTCTCGCGATGTTTTCTCCGCGTACAATTGCAAATTATCCCCGAAGCGATCATCGGCGAGGACCTGCCCTGCGGCGTTATTTTTTTCCCTCCTTTTGTTAACAATGGAGATGTTAACTGTGGACGATTCGATCGGGCTTTCGAACGTGCCGTGACGACGACGACGGTTACATTCACGCGAGACGTCAGTCGGTCATTACGGTTACCGCCTTTCATGACTCTCGTGAATGGGACATCCTGCCGAGTCGAAGAAAAGAGGGAAATGCGAAACGTGAGTGATACAAGGTAATATGGATAAACACTCGGCTCACATCGAGCCGTCCTTCGAGGGAGGGCCTGTTCCCGGCGCTCTTTTTCTCTTCTCTCTCTTTCTCTCTCTTCGGTCGAGTGAATTCCCTCGCGAAACAGGATATGCGAAAGAAACGCCATAAACTTTGTCGCGGACTTTAAAATTATCTGGCATCTGTCGTCCACGCACGGACATGTGTTTCATTCCCTCCAGAAACGTCACATTTATTCTTATTTACGTAAAATGCTATTTTCAAAATATCAAAATTGTAATAATAATGTTAAACTGTACAGATTGCAAATATAGTTAAGAGAACACAAATATAACTAATAAAAAAAAACACATTAAATATAGGCCATCAATCATTTGGAAAATATTCTTTTTAAATGCCATGCAGACATTGGATTTTTAAATAAATTTGTTTGCGTGTTGATGTAAAAAAAAATAGCAAAATCGTTTTCGGGATAGTATGTCAAGATATCATGTCTGCATATATCATGTTGCCATGTAATTTTAGTCATTATATATTGGTATGTCATCCATTACAAATGTTTTAACCACTTTCAGTATTTTATGTGTTTTTATGACGACGATATGTATAATAAATAATATTCTTGCGCACGAAACTTTCGGTAGGTAAATTCCACGCTCACGAGCGCGGAGATCCGCGTGTGAAATCGAGTCGGCCTTACATCGGTGGGACGATCGATTTCCGGTCTACTTCCGGTGATCGTCGCAGGGAGATCGCTCGGCACGATCGACAATTTTCGAAAGTGATTTTTTTGTAGTAATCTGCCCTCCCCCCTCCCCCCACCTTCGTGTCGCGCGACAATTTGGGTTGAACGTTCGTTAATCCAGAGAAAAATGCGGTCACGGATCATAAGACGCAGCCGCATTACGGACGAGCAACGATCGAGGCCGAGCAACATAATATCTGTATTTGAATATAAAACGTTGCGTGCCGATGCCATGTGCCGGTGAAACGAGATGAGCGGACAAATATGTAGCGATTCCGCGTCGGAAGTCCATTATTTCCTTCCCCGAATACGTACTTTGACAAAATCTGTAATTTGCGGAAGTCCGACATAATATTCACGTAAAATGTCTCGGAAGTCACTTTCTCCGGAATACAGAAACCAATCGAATGACAGAGTTCCAGCAATACGACACCGTAAATTTTAAAATATAAAAAATTAACCATTAATTAAGTAAATTTAATTAATATATTCATGTGAATAAATAACACAATTTTATCCGCGGAAAATTATCAGCTGGACTTTATTTTAAGAGAATTCTAATTTGTTTGGTTTAAGATTTAATTTTAAAGATCGTCGCTAAGATACTAATTGTAATAATTTCGAATGATCATCAAAGGATATGTCGGTCGAGTGAAAGTGCACAACACTTCTGAGATATTATATATTTTATAAAATTCTGTTTTTACTTGTGTACGTCATCTCTTGTTAAGTGATCGCTATATTAATAAATTCGCAATATCGAATTGTAAATAAAAATAAAAATATTAATTATATTCAGCTAGTTTGTGACTTGGGCACAAAGAAAAGATTCATAATTAACTTACGCGTAAACTTCCCGCAGGTAATCGGCACGTAAATCAGTAGATTTCAGATTAGTAATTGTTCGTGATTGATTGCCAAGCGAGAAAAAAAATGTAATGCGCTGTATTCCCGTCAGATTGCTAACTGCCGCAGATTAATGTGTCGGATTCATTACGCACGTAATTCCTGCGGATGAAGTGTCGTGTGAGAAAAACTGTGAACTCGGCGTCTAGCGTATAATCTCGCATTACGCCCAAGCAAATGGGCGGATTACATCTGACAAGTTGGCATTAACGTTAATGCGGAACGACTTGCAAGTAAGCTGTCGATCGCGCGTGGTAGTAATTATTCTCGGCGGCAACAATGCTCTTCGTCGTCTCGGTACAGATTAAAATGCATTATCCGCTTACGGCGATCGAAACGGCGACGTTACGTTACTCATATATTTACCATAATTATGCTCACACATGCGTGACATCGTATCGCCGTAGGGAGCCGACATGTACGAGTTTTATAGAAAAGTAACGCTCAATTCGAATAAAAGTAATTTTATTCGAATAAAGATAAGGTCAATAAACTAATAAAGACTACTCTAAAAGTATAGATATGTCAGCCCGGAAGTAACTCCGGAAATACAAATCAAAGTAGTATAGATATACACATCCTGTATTTTGACACATCACTGCTATGTTGAGATATATATAACACCAATGATTTTCATCCGCCTATCTGTTAAAAGCGAACGCGTAGAGTAATGTAATTAACTATATCTTTATTTTTCAGTATCTTAAAAAATATAATATATATTAAAAATTAAATTTTTTCCTTTTTTTTTTAATTTTACGTTGTTGACTTAAATTCTCTGAAATCGCTCGATAAATTATATCTATTCGATCATTAAGCAAATAATTTTAACTATTTTTTCAATGTTAAATTTTTACGCCAATCAACTTACACATGTACGTCTCGTAAGATCAATATTCAATTCCGAAAGCAATGTAAAATGACCGCGCCTGCGAGAACGAGATGTCGGTTTAAAGAGACATCGGAAGAATGCATTAATAAAGGAGGGAAGTTGCGGCAATGAACCTGAGGACGCGGTCCCTGACTCCATGAGAAATTCCCAGGACGGTTCTTTCCATTATTCCGGCCGCAGTGAAGTATCACTCCCGCAGGTGGACCTTGAACCTACGGAGGAGAGACCATCGAGTTGTCGCCTGACGGTCGCATGTGAACGCACTCTATGCAAGGAGCACGCCTTATACGCACGCGTTACGCTTGCACGTGCAGCGAGCGGATCGGCGCGTAAACATCCTACCATCCTCCCCGAGACACGAAATAATATTTGCAATATAACCGTAAAAAGCACGGGAAGTATGAATTCATTGGCATTACAACACGCGTTAACTACCATAAATGTATCTTAATTTGTTGTGAAGATATATCGCAAGATTTCCAGGAATTCCAGGATTTCCACCGTAGTCACTGTTTTTTTTTTAACTGGACAGTGCGGAAGATGAAAAAGAAACGCTGATCGCAATCGAGAAAATAGTTTAAAAATATAAGCAATAAAATGTTACAGAATTTCCATAAATTAAATTTTGCACAAATGATTAATATATATATTTTATTTTAGAAGAAACTTTATAAAATTGCAGAAAGGTTAAGGTTTTAACTTAGTTGCAAAATTA